TCTTATATTTTTAAATAAAACAGTTAAAATATATATATTTTAATAACAGTTTATAGCTGTTTACACTTATATTACTGTATATTAAGATATCACCAGGTATTACAATACAGAACTTTTAGTATTAATAATAAGTTGACATTTTCACGTTCTTTATATTCACAGGCCAAATTAGCACGAATAGACCTGTTTTCAGAAAACGGTGCGTTAAGAGAAGCTAGCGTGATGCGTTACAAGGAGAAAAAACGTACTCGTCTCTTTTCCAAAAAGATTCGATACCAAGTCCGAAAGGTCAATGCCGATAGACGGCCTAGATCTAAGGTATATGCATTTTCCGTTTGAATATGTTTTATTTATCTCAGGAAAGTCGTGATATCTTTTGTTTTATATAAAAGTCTCATAAAAATGAAGGAATTTTTAATAAAATTAAATGATTTTTAAATTTATATATTCATGAATTATTATCTTTATAATTATTACTTACTGAATTATATATAATATCAACATTTATATGCAAGTTATTATAATTTAACTGAAATATCAATACTATGTTATAAAGCATTTGACAAAAACTCTTAAAAATTATTTTTTATGCATGAAGTATTGTTTATTAATGCATATTACTTAAAATTCAAGATTACAAGTAAGTTGTGCGTAAATACAACTTATTAAAACTCTATATTTGAATTTGTGTAACTAATTGCAAATAAACATAATCAAATGTTATATTATTAAACAAAAAATAAATTAATCAAATGTTCATTATGTGATTCTTGCAGGGGCGGTTTGTAAGAAGGCCAAACTCTCCTACTTGTGAGGACACATAACACTCTTTTGCCCCCTTCATCTTTTGTTGATGACATTTCTGGTCCTTTTTGTTTGCTTTTTTTACGTTTCCGGACCCTATATTTCTTTATTTTGAAGAGAGGTGAGACTAGTTAAGAGGAGAAATGGATAGGAAGAAGAGAGTAGAAAGAGAGATTGTTCAACATCTTTGTTATCTATAATTCAATTATAAATTTTGTTTTTTTTTTCTTTCGTTTAGAAGTACGTTTTGGTTTGATTGGATTTACGTCGATTCCAAACGCCGTCGTGAATTTGTGAAACCTCGGCAAAACTACGGATTAGGTTTCGTAGGTGTCTTTAACTTAAAACGAACTTATGGTGATCGTTTTTACTTAAACGCTTGTGGTTATATAAACCGATGAAGTCGAGGTTATAATATTTTTTTTTATTAACCTGGATATTCAACCCGCTATGTGAGCCGACTAATCCCAGGACGACCATCTGCTTTGCAGATAGCCCGGAGTCACCGCATTTGAACCTCCGTGGCCACAAAGGGATTTTTATTCCTCATTGGATTTGAACCTGTGACCTCCTGGCACTTTTGACCTTTGGAGCCAAGTTCAAACCAATCAGGCACAATCCTTTTAATTACGAAATGTGAATTAATGGAACTCGTTCCACAACATAATGCAATTTAACCGTAGTATTCTAAACCATCTAATTGGATAAGTTTTTATACTCGTTATAACAAAAAAAACGTAAAATAAATTAAACTAATGGCTTAACATCAACTCGTCATATGATGATAGTTGTAACGCATTCGAAACCTAAAGTTGTTCGAAATTTTGGTGTTTTTTCTTATCTTCTTTTATCATCCCGTTATCAAAAGTATCATAAAAATTATTATGATACATCATCATGAGTATCAATAACATCATAAAAATATTTATATAAACTAATCCCGAAATTCGTAATATAAAATTACAAATTAAAACCCTAAAATTTGTCAAAATAAAAAAACAAAAAATGATATTGATAAAGAGAAATTGTAATTGTAATAATAGCAATATTTAATAAATAAAAACTAATATAAGATAACTATAAATTAATAAATACTAACTTATTTTTATTTATTCTAATTTTTGTTAAGGTTAATTATTTTGGAAGCCAAGTATTATTTCATTTTGATAAAATAAGAATCAAAATGAAAGAATACTTGGCTTCCCGTTTGGAACCCCACTTATATGTATATATGCATATATTTATTATTAAATAATAAATATATTTGATTTTCAATATTGTTAATTAAGGTGGTGACAATTCAATACAATTTTAATTTTAAAATACATTACTTTTTACTCAACATATACCCAACGGGTTCTTTGAACTCGTCAGAGATGCATAACCCCCAGCACTGGCCCCGTTTGTTTCCTTATTTATTCGTCATCATTTTCTTCACATTTAATTGGGTTGAAATAATACATATTTATGTTGGGATTTATTTATAAATCCAATAATAATTATGGGCTTACATATTATTATATAATTATATTACGCTATTTAAGTAATGGGCTAATTATGTGATTAATTAAAGAGAGCTCATTAGAACCCAATTTAGTATGGATTTAATGAGAGGAAGCCCATTAGATTATAATTAGGGTTTAATGGAAACCCTAATTACAACTCTATATAAAGACGACTAGGGTTATGGTTCCCACACACCAAAATCAATACGTTCATTCTCTCCCCATTGGAAGGACATCAAGGATTTTGCGTTGAGGAAAGCCATAATCTCGGATCTTCGTTTCATACTCAAGCCTAACTAATGGAGACGGGTACGTTTATTCTTATTCGTATGT